AGCACGGTCCTGCGAGACCCTCGTGGCCCCGTTGGCCTAGGCGCGAGACGGACTGGCTTTATAGAATTTGGGTCACCATGGCCCGACTTATGACTTGGCTCTTTATCCTGAAATTTCGCCCTCCATAGACAACCCCCCCCAAACTCTCAACCTCACCTCCCCAACCTCTCACCCCCCCAACCTCTCACCCCTTCACCTCGAATTTCCCTCTTTAGAGACAAAGGTTTTATTCCCCCCGCCCCGCAACCTCTCACCTCTCACCTCCACTGCCTCACCTCCTTGGAGTTCAGAAGGCGACCACCAAAGCCAAAAGACATAAAACCACCGGGCGACCAAACCAAACGCCCGATCCGGAGAAGCCGAAAGACAGAGCGCTGCCGAAAAAGGATGTTGGATGAGCAATGCATCCAGTCCAACACAAAACCCAGCAACATCTCATCCTAGCCTTACTTCCAAAAACACTGATGAGCTAACGCATTGACATGACATACATTTTTAGACCTGACAGGCGCAATTGGGTAATATACAGCCACAGTTGGATGGCATCGGTCAGTGTGTGCATTGGATTAAAGTGTCATGAGTCAGCATGAACAACAACCACGCTTCCCTAAAGCGACTGGAGCATTGGCAAGCGGATTCTCCACTGTGGCTCGTTACGTGAACGCAAACCTCATGAACCCTCACACTCTCCAATAATGGAAAAGATCACGCCGACTCTCTGCGCGCGAATTGACGATTGAGAGCATTCTCGAAGAACAATGGCTCGAGATCTGCTCGCGAGACCTTCACCCTCCGGCCTTGTCGTCCGCTGGCGCCTTCTTTGCCTTCAGAGATTGGCTCGATTGGTCGTCACACCGCGCTCAGGATGTTCTGCAAAGCGTCGCGTGGACTACATATGCTGGGTTCCCTGCAGAGTTTCACCGCTTGTTCCACTGCTTTCACTGATGCATGCCGTTCACAAGGCGTCAACAAATGCAGGGCCCTTCCACCACAAGCTGCTTGCTCAGCTTGGAGTGACCATTTGCACACTTGGTCTGTCTCAACATGCACTGACTCCTTGTCAATGAAGGAACGCTACCGCAGGATACATTCGACGCATCAAGCTTCAGACCTGATGAAAAGCCACGGGAGGGCATTGGAGGGCAGTTCCAGGCCATGCACGGAGCCATTCCAAGCACTTGTCGCTAGGCCACACAGCATCCACCATGCGGTCAAAGCTCGGATTTGGTGAATGTGGGAGTTTCATCGCGCGGTTCATCGAGCAATGTTGAATAGGACTCTTTTCGCGCAAGCCCAACAATTTCAGGCTTCCTTGCATAATCTGCGGGTGATGCCCGAAATGCTACATTTGTCCAGTGCTTCAGGTTCCATGCGAGGGCCACATCGCTGTTCAATCCATCACTTGTCTCCGCCAACTGCTGGGGGCAAGCAAAACATTTCATGACGAGATGGATTCAGCTGCAAAACAGAGAGGTCAACAAGCAACATGAAATTCTGAAATGAGAGAGCCAGCCAGCTTCATGTGCACCGGCCTCCTCCTCAAACTCAGTGGGGTCATCCCAGCCAAGGTCATAGAACTCCTCCAGTGTCACCTGCAAACATCCCAGCAGTCCAAAGGGCGGCTTAACATGCTCACAAAAAGGAACGACCACACCTCTCGCTTAAAACAATTCCCCTCACGCTGCTCCTGCTGGCTGAGTGCTGGCATTGCAGGTTTCAATGGATTCTCGCCATCTCCCTTTGAGGGTTGCCCCCAGACCCACTTCTGTTCCCAGAGGCACCAACGTGGTTCTGAGGACAACCAACACGAAGACATAACAACCTGCAGGGGCGCCACCGTCCGGACACATGTACATACCCACATACGCATAAAGGTAAGTGGCATCTAAACCAAACGGTCACCTGCGATATAAACCACGGGCAAAATCATGTACTCTGAACGACATGGTAAAAACATTCTCACCCCCAGATTCTCAAAAAGCAGCCAACCACTCTAGTATACCTAGTTTAATCTAATCACATTGTCAGATGCTCCTTAAAAGAAAGGCTCGCAGATCGGAACCTCCAAAATTGGCTCACTTTGGCATTTCCTTTTTGCACCTCTCCAAAAAGATCGCAGCTTGCGCCTGGGAGCCCTCCCGGAGCTTGGTGGAGCCCTGACGGCTCAGCCCCCGCTCCTTTCGGGCGTGACTTTTCGCGGCCGAGCCTGCTGCGTTTCGTGGGGCTGCTGGGGCATCGGGTGAGATGGCCGGGCGGCCGGGACGGGGCGTACTGTCGCACAGATGGCTGGAGAGAAGGATTGTAGACTGCCTTGTCCCATTGATTGACTAAACGGTCACTGCTTCAAACGAACAAGTTGCGTGCGTGGGCCGCGGGATGATGTGGGCAATGTGCAAAATTAATGTTGACTCCTTTCACTCCCGAACGTCAGGTTGCCAGTTCAGGGTATTTGAGGTCCGATCTGTGTGTTGCCCATCGAACCCAACTCAATCAACGCCGC